GAATAAATTATTAATACATACTTATTTTTTTTATTATAGACTCACCAGATGATATTAAAGAAGATGCAATTCTTAAATTAGCTAAATTATTTGTTAAAATTGGAAAAGGTGATCAACTCCCAACTCTTTTAAGATCAGTTAGACCATTTTTCGATAAAATCTCAAAACCAAAGACTGATAAAATTGTTAGAAACTTTATTGATATCGCATCAACCCTTCCAGACAACTTACCATTTTTAATTGAATTTTGTAAAGAAAATATTCAATGGTGTAAAGATACAAATAGAATTTATTTAAGACAAAGATTAGAAACTAAACTTTTTGCATTGTATGTTTAAATATAATTCACCTCCATCAACTATTTAATCACCCTACACTTTTTATTAACTTTTAAATATAATTATTATTATTATTATCATTATTATTTTAGGATGTTTGAAGCTAAAGAATATGCAGCTGCATTAAGTGGTTTAACAACATTATTAAGCGAAATTAAAAGATTAGATGACAAGCCATTATTAGTTGAAATTCAACTTATAGAAAGTAGAATCCAACATGCTCTTAAGAATATTCCAAAAGCTAGAGCCGCTTTAACATCTGCTCGTACAAATGCCAATACTATTTATTGCCCACCAAAGCTTCAAGCCGAAATTGATATGCAATCTGGTATCCTTCATTCCGAAGAAAAAGATTATAAAACTGCTTTCTCATACTTTTTCGAATCTTTTGAAACTTATGATTCACTTGAAGATCCACTCGCTATGAAAGCTTTAAAGTATATGTTACTTTGTAAAATTATGACTAATCAAGTATGTATATATATTTCTAAATATATTTTATATTTAAATAGTTACTAATTTTTTATTTTTAAAAAAAACTATGATTATTTTAGACTGATGATGTTCATGCATTGGTAAATGGTAAAATTGGATTAAAGTATCATAATAATAGATCAATCGAAGCTATTACTCAGATTTCTAAATCTCATGCTAAAAGATCACTTCATATGTTCCAAGAAGCCACAAAAGAATATGCTGATCAATTATCAAATGATGCTATTATTCATAGTCATTTAACTGAATTATATAGTAATCTTCTTGAACAAGTAAGTATAAATAATAATAATGATAATAATAATAATGATTAAAAATATTAATAAACATTTATTTTAGAATTTATGTCGTATTATAGAGCCATTCTCAAGAGTTGAAATTTCACATATTGCCAAATTAATTGATTTACCTATTGAAGTTGTTGAAAGAAAATTATCACTTATGATCCTTGATAAGAAATATAATGGCATACTTGATCAAGGTACTGGCACTTTAATCGTTTTTGATGAACAACCAGAAGATGTAAGTTTAACTATTTAAAATTCAAATTTATAAAATTAATACCATTACTAATACTAATTTTAATTTTTCATCACTATTTCAGAAATTATTCAATAGCTCCCTTGAAACCATTAAAGCCCTTAGTGGTGTAGTTGACTCTCTTTATGAAAAAACAAGCAAACTTTCTTAAAAAACTAATCTATTTATGTGAATTTATCTCTTTTCTCATGTACTTATGCCCCCAAAAAAAAATTTACATAATAAAAAAAATTATTTATAAATAAATAAATATATTTTCTGTTTATCTTTTCAATTTAATACAATTATATATTAATAATTGTATTTTATAAAATAAGTAATTTATTTATTTATAAATAATTTTTTTTTTTTTTTTTTTGTTTTTTTTTAATTTTTTTTAATTTTTTTTTATATTTATTATTTTTTATAATTTTTTTTTTAATTAAATAATTTGAAATAATTCCATTAAAATATTTAATTATAATTCATTGCATTAATATTGTATTTATAATCTCCCATACAAATTATATATCATTTAAATTGGTTTATAGAATAATTTGGGTGCAATACACTAATAATATTTTAAAAGAATGTTTCAAACACTATCGTTTAAATCAATAGAGTGTCCATATAATTCACAATGTCCTTTAAATACATTATGTTTTTTTAAACACACATCTATAGATGTAAATAATAATATAAATAACAATAGTAATAGTATACTAATTAATAATAATAATAATAGTCATTTGTTTAATAATAATAATAATAATAATAATAATAATAATAATAATAATAATGATAATAATAATAATGATAATAATAATAATAATAATAATAATAATAATTATAGCTTTAATTCAAAATTTAATAATAATAACGATAATAATAATGAAGAAGAAAGTTTTAGTGAATATAATCCAGACGAAGAACCAATCGACTTGGATAAAATATCAGAAAGCTCTTTTACAAGCGTACAACCAAAACAACAAAATTCATCAACAATACATTCACCACAAACCCATATACCTTTTAAAAAAAGACTGCAATTTGAAAGTAGTCCAATTAAATCACCAACAAATATAGCGGCGCAACAACTATCACCACAACTACAGCCACCACAAATTCAAACCTCACCTCCTACAGTAACATCAAAAATACTGCCAATCCAAACAGCAACTACTTCACCTCCGCAACCAGCAACCAATATTAGTAAACCCACACCACCTACCACTAGAAGACAAAAAGAACTATTGGAAAAAGAAAAAGAAAAGGAGAATCAAGATAAAGAGGGTATCGATAGTAGCCAAGAACAAGAGCAACATGAAATTGAACAAGAGGAACATGCCGAAACAAAATCAAAACGAAAAAGAGAAAAACCAACAACAACTGTAACAACAACAACAACAACAACAACAGAAGAGACTACACCAACTAAAAAAGGTAGAGGTAAAAAAACTATTAACGAGGTCCAAACTAATCCAAATGATGCACAGAAATTAAAAACCTCTTATATGAACCCAACTTTAAAATCACAACTTTCAAAAGCTCCTAGACAAGAAATGTTAGATTTAATTCAAAAAGAAGATATATATGATGCAAATAAATGGAATGCGTTAAATGTCGATCCTGCTCAATTGCCAACTATAGCAATGGAAGCAAGAACCAAAGTACCAAGATCCGTTAGGCAAATGTAATTATATACACAATATAATAAAAAAAAAAAAATTATTATTAACAACAACCCATATTTATTATTTAAATAGTATGCTTTTTCATATCTTAGAAAAATGTTTAGAAATTATAAAAGATTCAAAAAGAGCGATTCCTCAAGCAGTAAAAATAGAAGAAATAATTTATGGAGACGCATTTAGTAAAAATGGTAAATATTTATCTTTATTATTATTATTTTTATAAATATTAATATTATAATTGTATTTTTTTTAGTATATTTAAATTTGGTAGATATGGAGCTTCCAAAACTATTAGAACAAACCAAAGAGGAGATAGAAGGTAGTGAAGAAAATGAATCAGAAGAAGATGAAGAGTAATAAAAAAAAAAAGAATATAATCTAAACTATAACAAAATACAAAATAAAATATGTATATAGACTTTTTGTGAAATTATTTATTTTATATTTTACAAAATAACAAACAAAAGTAACTTTATTGTCTTTTTTATTTGTTATTATTTATATTTATATATATTTGTTTTTATATTAATTGTTTTCATTGTTACTATTACTATTGGTTTTGCTACTATCATTATTATCTTTTTTTTCACTTTCCTCTTTTTGTTGTTTCATTTTCTTTTCTGATAATTCTTTATTATATGCCATTGATGCTACATTTCCCCTGAATCTATTTCTTGGGTCATACTAAATAAATGTAAATTGTTAATATTGGTATCATTTAAATATATTTATTCTGTAATTTCTCTTACCATATCTTTTCTACATTTAAATAGTGCATATAATAATTCTTTACATTCAGAATCTAAATCTTTAGATTTGATACATTCATGAAAAGTTAAACCTTTTGCCATACATTCGCTATTTCTAACACATTCAGCTAAATTATCCTTTATTCCTTGACATGGTGATCCATACTCTTCCTTTACTTTTGATTCAGGTGTTGCCATTTTATATAAATAATAAACAAATTAAATGAAAAAATAAAAAAAATGATAAATTTAAACGAAAAATATTAATTTTATTTTTTTTTATTTTTTTTTTTTTTATAAAAATTAAAAAAAATGAAATATTTGGATAATAAATTTTATATTGTTTTTCTTTTAAATTTAATACCAAATGTAATTCTTAAAATATCCAAAAAAACAAATTGTTTATTCTTTTTGTTTAGAAAATCAATTTAGAAGTAAAATCACCCAAATAATACAACCCCCAACTTTTTTTTTTTTTTTAAATATTATTTCTATATATAGTTACAAAAAATATTTACAATTTATAAATAACAATAATATTTTTTTTTTTTTTTGTATTTAATTTTTAATTTTAAAATTAATGAAGTAATTTTTTTTTTTTTATGTTTATTATTTTTTAATAGAACTTTAATCAGAAAAATGACTTTAATTAGTAAGTAATCTTTTTTTTAATGTTTTTAATGATATTAATAAAATTCATTATAATTTAGAATGTATTCAATCATTTGGTAATATTACATATAATAGTAATGGTAGAAATTCAAGTACTAGCAAATCTGATATTTGCACTGACTCATCAGCCAAAGGAAATGAAGATAAAAATAAGAGTTGTTATGTAATTACCGATTCACAAACCCCACATTGTTCAATTCCTGCAAACGACTGTATTTCTTGTGGAACTGGTTTTACTCCAAATCATAATTTTCACATAATGTAGATTTTTAAGAAGAATAATTATAATAAATTTTTTTTTTATCTATTTATTAAATTGAGATTTACATCTTTTATTATTTTGAAATATTAATAAAACATTAAAAAAAATTTTCTAAAAAATTTTCTAAAAAAAATAAAATTAAAAAAAAAAAAAACTGGTAATTTTTTTTTTGATTAAATGTTAAAATAAGGATTTGTGTTATTTTTTTAGTTTAGTGGTTCTAAATTTATACTTTTTGGGGATTACAATTAAGAGAGTTGATTATTTTTTATTTTTTTTAATTTTTTATTTATTTCAATTTTTATAATTCAATTTTTATTTAATTTAATAAAAAAAAACAAAACCTGTACACACAAATAATTATAATTGTAATTATCTATGGAATCAATCAATGTGTTAGTATAAGTTTATAAATATAAAAATATAATAAATAATAAAACTAATATTTTTTTTTTTTCAATAAATTTTTTTATTTTTTTATATTTAAAATTAAATTTTTTTATTTTTTTCATTTTTTTATATAAAAGAAATAATAACAAACAAAAATTAATAAATTGTTTAAAAAACTATAGCAAAAAATCATTTTATTTAACTATTAAAGAGAAGATAATAAAGTATTTAGAAATAATTAAAAAAGATAAAGCGTTTTATTATAAATTAAAAGAAATTAATGAAATAATTTTAGAACCAAAGTTATTATTTTCAACAGACCAGAATGACAGAGTATCTTTTTTCGATGACCCAGCAGAGAGCCATGAATTATTTGAACCATATAAATTTAGAATTCAAAAATTCATCGATTTTAAAGAAGATTTAGATAAAAATAAACATGTATATTTAATCAATCTATTCGAACAATTAATAAAAGGTTACAAAGAAGAAATGCAATGTTTTATTCAAAATGCAATTATCAATAAACTATCAAAAAAGAGAATGAACATGTACAATAATGATGTATATTTGGTCAGTGAAGATTTAGAGTTCAAAGAAATTAGTTTAAACATCGCTTATGAACTCTCTTGTTACCATCAAACTGAATTAGATTATGTCAGAACGAATCCAACTGGTAATAGTATAGGAAAGAAAATAGGTGAATGCTATGTTAAAGTAGACAGTGGTGATACTTTATTAGCTCCAGCAAATGAAGATGCCGTATATAAATTGTGTTGTAGTTTATTTGGTACCGACCAGGAAATAGTTATGCCTACCGGGTTATTGATTTTAAGTAAAGTTCCAATTTTACCAGCAAATTTAAGGGACTCTCCTCAAAGAAAGAAAATGGCCGAAATTAAAAAAGATCAAGGTTATCAATCAAATAAAGAGGTGTTTATCTTTGATCCACAGTTGAAGCAGGAAGTTAAAGATGCCATGAAAGAAGTAAGAACTTTATCAATTCAAGCAAGTTTATATAAAAATGGACCTACTCTTTTTAAGTTTTTAGAGGGTATTCAAAATAGCCCAGATTACGAAACCAAACTATTATCAACAATAGATTTATATAACTATAGTTGCCATATCTTTTCAAGCCTTCTGTTATTACATGAAGACTACAAAGCAGATAATTTAATTGTTGATTTGGAAACTGGCAAAATTGTTGGAATAGATAATGACCATTGCTTAGAAAACGACGAGATGAAAAAAGAAAAGAATTCAAATGGCTATTTAATAACAATAAGAAATATTTTATATCTATTAGAGCCATTAATGAATAAGCCTGTAAATAAAAAAGCAAGAGATCAATTCATCAGCAAGCAACCACATCATCTTATATTGGATTGGTTACTACACTTATTTAAACAAGAAAATATGTACACCCAGCTAATAGAAATGTCATTGTTTACAAATGGCTTAGAGTTTCCAAACGAGCAAACTATAGAACAAACTTGCCAAAGTTTAAGGTTACCAATCAAGTTTCAAAAAGGATTTATAGATTCACTATTGAAAAGGTTTATCAAAATTAAAAATCTTTTAACAAATAACCCAAATATAACCCATCAACAGCTTTTTAAAGAAATTCACCCATTTGCATCAGTTTATTATGAAGCTGTCAAAAAATGTTACAATACTCCACTAACCCAAATTGCATCAATGTACCCACATTGTTTCGATGAAAAGGTTCAGCAATACCTCAAAGATAATTCAATAGTTTATAAAGATTTTTTTTCCAATCTATCAAAGCACCAATTCATTCAGTCTGAACGATCCATTTCAATTTTGGACTCAATTTATGATTTTATATATAACATAGATGTATGTTTAGATTTGCTAGAGTCTTTAAATGAAACAGCCTTTTCAGCAATTGTCAAAATTATAACTTATTTATATAAAGATTTTTCAATAGAATTGCAATTAAATAATTCCTGGGTCCTATATATTCAAAAAACCTTGAAGATTTTAATGACACAAAATGAAACAGAAAAGACAATCAAGGCTTTAATTTCAATACTAAGAATTAAAAATCTTGACCAAAATGTATTGGGGGAGGAAAGTTCAATCATCAATATTGTTTTGACTCTACCAATTAGTTTTGAAAATAAAATAAAATATATAAAACTTCTTGCTAGTTTTGGTTCAAGTTTAAATATAGTCGAAAGGTCGAATTCATGTTTAGATTTAGCTGTCACATGTAGTCAAAATAAAAATGATTCAATCAATCTTTTTAGAACTTTAATAGAATTGGGAGCAGGCAAATTTTGCAAAGATCAAATAATACTCGATTTTTATGGTTCATTAACAAGAGAAGACAAATTAGACCTTATGGAAACAATAGAAACTCTTTTAAAAGTCAATCGAAAGATTGTTTGGTTATTATCATTAAACCATTTATTTCCATTACTTTTATCTGGTAGTTATGTTGACCCAAATAGAATATTACGTACAACAACTAAAGGAGATAGAATTATAAACAATGATCAATGGGATCAAATATTTGATTCAAATAATATCCCAATAAAAAAGAATGAATATGGAACAAGATCGGTGCCGTTTATTGAAGACTGTGGCCATAGAATTTATTTAAAGTTGGAACCTCAATTTCCTGGGTCAGAATTAGCAGTTTTTACATTGGGTCAAAGATTGTTCGGATATTGCTCCCCATTTTCAGAGTTATCATTTGTTAATGGTATGGTTGTTTTATTAAGTCAAGAGATCAAGGGTGATGTCCTCATTGATTTTATTAAAAAAGATTCAAAAAAACTTTCTTTAATTAATCCAAAAAGTATTTCAAGGTTATTGGTATTAGAAATTTTAATCAACAATGGTGATGGTAATCTGGCAAACTACATAGTTCCAAATAGTGATGAAGAGATTGGTTCTTATGATATTTATTCAATTGATAATGAATTAGCATTCATGCCACCATTTGCTCAAGAAATTAAAAAGGGTAGAATTTTTCCAAATATATATTTATCATTACAGGTACAAACAAGTTTATTGCTCTTTGAACAAATGTTTAATTTTATAAATCAAGACGTTGTAAAGGAATTATTAAAGAAGGATTTGATTTTTGAATTAAAAGAATGGGTTAAAGATTTATTGGTTTATCACGATAAATGGACCATTTTTTTTTCAAATAAATATATTATCGAAAATAGAAAAAATAGTGATTCATCTATTATTGGAATACATTTTGTTCCAGGTCAATTAAAGAACTTATATTCAAAGTTAGTTCGACTTCAAAAATTGATAGCAAAGCCAATTACCCACTTCAAATTATTAGAATCATTGGAGCCGATGGTTGCAAAAAGATATAAAGAAATTTTTAAACAATCACCAGAATGTTATTCAGTTTATATAAGGTCTCAAATATTAAAGAATTCAAAAGAAGAAAGTTGTTTAACATCTTCATCTTTTTTAACAGAGCATGTATTAGAGTCAAGAGATGTTCCAAATGCAGAAAGAATCAGACAAGAGTTAAAAAATGGAAGATACGGTCCAGAACAAGCATTATATGAAATTGTAGAAATAGAAGGTCAGTTTTCAAGTTTTAATGAAATTTATGAAATATTACAAAAATTTGATGGTAATCCTAAGCAACAAAAGAACAACCCATATATTGGATATATTAGTGATGCAAAATTAGAGTTGGCTTTAAAAGAATCAAATCTCGAAAAATTAACAAGTTTACAAGAACAACATTTGTTTAAATTATTAGAAGGCAAACAATTGCTCAAAATAATTTTAAGAAGCAGCAAAGAGTTATCAAATAAATATTTAAACGCTTTAAGCTTCAATAATGTAACAATTTTAAACTTTTCAAATTCTCAAAATTTAGAATCAATTTCAAAAGGTAAAATTATAAAGTCGCAAATCGAAATGCCACTTTTAAAGAAGCTAAAGCTAAATAATTGCCCAAAGCTTACAGAACTAATGATAGTTTCAAATAGCCTGACTCATATTTTTGCAATCAATTGTAGATTTAAAATATTTAGGGTAGATTCACAGGAATTAAACACAATTTTTTTATCAAATGAATCAATTCAAAGTATCGATATTTTATCACATTTATCCACCTTTAAAAAACTAATATTTTTGGATTTAAGTAAAAATCAATTATTAAATAATATAAATTTAGAAGCCTATAATATTTGTTCAAAAAAAATTATTATCGATAATAGAAAAATCCTGATTAAATCACAACTTTCTGCATCTTTACCATTTTATTACTCTTCCTCATCCTCTACTACAAAATTAAACAATTCATCACTCTCATCATCTTCATCTTCAATTTCAGCTTCATCCTCGCCACAATCACCATTATCATCATCTCTATCATCGTTTTCATCTTTATCATCTTTATCATCTAGTAATTCCTCTGAAGAAATCGAATCTATTAATATTTTATCGTGTGGGAGTTATTTAAAAAATGCATGTTTAATTGGAAAAATATTATGTAATAAAGAATTAATTAATAATAGAAAACCAATTGGGACAAGTGGTGGAGGTATTACTATTGATGACAAATTTTTCTTATATTGCTTTATTGACGAAAATCAAATAAAAACAACAGAGTTTGAGATCAATGCAAAGGCAATCATACTTTTTTTCGATCCCAGCCTAGATGAAGAAAAAGATATCGATCAAATTAAATCAAGTGTTTCTCTATTAAAGAAATATTATAAACTTTCAATGAACGTTTATGGCTTAAGTATACCCTATGTTTTATTTGGTGCCTCAAAAGATAACAAAAACAAAGTTATTCCCAAATTAATCCAAAATTTTTATAAAATGAACCCAAATATAAAGTTAATATATAATATTGGTGTCAACTCAAAAGAAAAAGAATTGATATTAAGAAAAGAACTATATGATTATCTCGATCACTATTTGTAAATAAAAGAAATTTTTTTTTTTTAATAAATATTTTTTAGTGATTAAAAATTATCGTTATTCTCAGTTTTAACCAATTATATATATTTTTTTCACTTTTTTTTTTTTTTAAAGTGATTGCTTAATGAAAATACGCATAAATTGTATTCATGCATTAAAAAAAAAAAAAAAAAAAAAAAAAAAAAAAATCATTTTAATTTTTTAAACTTTTATTTTTTTTTTTTTTAATAATAATTATAAATAAAATAATAATAATATCTATTTATTATCAATTTGATTTTGGGTATTTATATTTGAGCTATTTACAGGTGAAGTTGTTACAATGGCGGTGGTGGTAGGGATATCTATTACAGTTGGAATGGTTTCTTTTTTATCATCATTATTTTCAATATCACTTTTACTGCTTGATGAACTTGAATCTGAAGCACTATCAAAATTTGTAGACTCCTTAGTTGAACTTTGGCTCCATGTTTGTAATTGTGGGGCTAATATTATTAACATTACAGATATCCAAGCAATTTCGATGGAACGGCCAATAAAGTTAAAAGCTATAGTGTGAGATATTGTTAAGACTCCATCAATTGTGAAGCTCCAAACGGTTAGGGCAAGAGTAGCAAAAGTTACAACAATTGATGTGATTGAAAGTTTAAATATTTTTAATATTTTTTGATGGTTGTCGGAGTTAAAAACACCTGAATCTTTACCCGATAAGTCTTTATATTCACTCCAAATCATTTTTGTGAATATAACAGCAGATATACTAAAAAAAAATTAATATTTTTAATTATTTTTTTTTAAAACTAATAATAATTACCCTCCGTAAGCTAAAAAGAAAAACAAAACTATATTGGATGCATTGTATCTTAGACCACTAAAGCAAATGATTAATAATAATGCAATTAGGACAATTTGAGAACCAAGGAAAATTTTTCCTAAAAATGGGAACACCTTAGAAACCACTTTTGAAAAGTTGAAATGAAAAATAATTTTAACCCAGACAAATAATGTATTAAAGAAGGAACAAATTAAAATACCCATTGGAAGAAGGAATAAAAGACCCATAACATAGAAATTCTCTTCTTCGTACAATGTCAAAACTGCTCTTACTACTCTTGCTATTTATAAAAAAAAATTAATAATTTAATAAATGAATTCTATTTAAACAAAATATAATTACCTAAACATGTTATAATTAATAAAGACAATGAAAGGAGGGGCCATTTGTTATCTTTTCTAACTCTAAGTTGATTTAAACGATATAAGCAAAATGAAAGAGTTATCACATAACCAATTAAGATTAAGGAGGCAACAGTTTTACAACCTGCTGGGTTACATTCGGATTCCTTTTGTTCAAAACTTGGTTCGCAATAACATCTTTTAGGTGTTTGTAATAAATTTATAGTTGTATTATTCATATTATATTATATTGTTATAAAAAAATAGAAAAGAAATAATAGATTAACTTTGAAATATTTATTTCAATTTATGATTTATATTATTAAAAAAAAAAAAATTTAAATTAATTTTATTACATTTTTTATAATTTAACACTATCTTTTTATATTATATATATATATATAGGTATTTTAAAATATTTACTTTACCCACTTAAAAATTAAAAGGGTTATTGTTAAATAAATTAAAATTTTTTGTGTTTATATTATTTTTGGTGGGGGGTGGGGTTTATCGTGTTATTTTATATTATAATAATTAATTGGGTGTGTGGTATTAATACTGTGATTGAGTTAGAGATATAAAAATAAGTGAGTTAAAAATTTAGTTGTGGGAAAAAAAAAAAAAATACTATTCATGGTGTTAACAATAATAGATATACAATATAATAAAAATTTTTTCTTTCAACTTTTTATATTTATTGGTATGGCTTTCCCAATTTATCATTATGATGGCATTTATTAACCCCAAAGGGGTTTAAAATTTAAATAGTGGAATAATTATTTTTTAAAATCTTACATATAAATGTGAATATATATTATTTTCATAATAAATATAAACAAAAAAAGTGGGTTATGAATAAATAAATATATATCTGTTTTTTATTTAAATTTTGAAATTATTTTTTTTAATTTAATAGAATTTTCTGAATAACGATATTTTGTAAAAACAAAATAGGATGCTACCATGACCCCAATAGCTACAAAAACAAAACCACCCACAGCAATACCTATTATTTGAGGAGTTGTTAAACCGTCTTTTTTGCAACTATTACCATTTAAAAGAACAGAAAAAGAAGTTTTACTTGATTGCACTTGATAATTATTACAATCATTGTTGTCATCTTGCTCTTCACCAGTTTCAGGGTCATATGTTTTGAACTGAATTGAACTGTAGCCACCTTGCATTTCATTAGTATGCATGATTATCATTGATTTGTTATAATTTGAGGAATTTTCTACCATATTTTTATTCATTCTTACAATAAGGGTGCCATTAATGATTGCACTACCACTAATATTAACCAAAGATATTTTATTTGTACTGTCAATTGTCACTATCATTTTACCATTTTCACCTTGAGTATAGTTGCCATTGATGTTTAATTGATAAAAAAATTCCTTACTACCCAAAGTTGCATTTTTATTATTTAAACTTTCAGCTGTTACAGAACCATTTCCAAATAAAGAACCTCCATTTAATTCGATAGTTTGATTAGATTGAATATCAACTTGATTCGACAAAGATATATTACCATCATATTGATTAATTTTTTTAAATATTGAGTTTTGTTGTAATACTAATGACCCTCTATTTTCGAAATCGACAAATACATTTGTGGTATTTTCTCCCTTAATAGTAAAATTACCTTGATTTAACACTAATGTATCCAATGTATCATTTTCCTGTTGTCTATTATCATTTAAAACTATATCACTTTGTAGAATGAATTCACCAGCATTTGTTAGCTTGCTTTTTGCATCTAATGAAAAATCACCATCCATTTCTACATTTCCCTTTCTATTTGTAAAACTTGAGGAGAAAAGCTTTAATTTTGATGATTTGAACTGTTTAATACTTCCATTTGAATCAATTTGACAATTCTCGCAATTAAATGAACTTAGTTTAGCAATGTTCATTTGACCACTTAATAAATTTATGGTATCCCCAATACCATCATAAAAACCATACAGGTTAAACTGGCCCAGTAAAATTGAATAATTTGTTTGATTACTTTTTATTTGACCAATACTTGTAAAATTTTTATTTAAATTGACCTTTGATTTTTCAAAAGATAATTTACCAATCTATAATGATATTAAACATTAGTATTATTATTCTACAAATTAAATACTATTTTAAAAACTATCTTACATTATATAATTTACCATCGATTTTAATATTAGAATCAAAAAATTCTCTTTGAATATTGATTTTATTTGAATTTATGCTAAATGAACCAGTTATATCCAATGAGGAACCTTTGAATAAAAATGAAGATTCATCATTTATATCAAACTGATCTTTAATTTCAATCTTTGAATTTGTACCATTAATTGATGTTTTATCAAAAGATCGGAATGATTTGGAAATACTCATCGATGATCCTTCCATAAATATACTTGCATTATTGACGATACCAAAAGCTCCAGAAATTATTAAGGTTGAGGAGTTTTGTGCAGTTATAGATGAGCTATTTGCTAAAGCAGCTAAAATTTTACTTTTATCGGGTAAATCTATAATTTCATCACTTGAATCATAGGAACCATCTGACTTTATACCAATGTCGATTATTGAGGAATCTAGGTGCATTTTTGAATTGTCAAATAAAATTAAATTTTTACTTTCCAGAACTGAATTTTGATCAAGGTTTACTGTAGAATAACCACTGGCCAAAAAATTATTTGATGATAAAAGACCACTGTCTTTTATTCCTAAAGTTGTATAAGATTTCATTTTAATATTTGAATCTGAGTACATTTTTGAGTTTGAAATATTTAATTTAGCTGAATCTGTTAATGATAAAGTAGTGTTTGTAAAATCTAAATTTGAATTGTTTGATATTAAAACCCATGAACTATCAGTTACTTTCATTGAACATTTTGAATCTGAGTTAAAAGGAATCGATGATAAAGCTGAGCTTTGTATATTAAGTGAGGACTCTGCTGTAACTATAATATTTTGCATGTTAATTGTTGTAAGTGAATCCTTGAATATAGTCTCTGAAGTAGTTTTTAATAATACTTGACCATCCTTTTTGATATTAATTGTAAAAATATTAATATATATGAATTTATTGGGATAAAATTAATTTTTACTTACCAATGAATTATTATTAAAATTTACTGTACCAGAAAAATAACTATAACCATTATTATTTAAAAATCCATTTAATTGGGTATATGAAGATGAGCTGCTATAAAATTGACCCTTAATATTCTGTATATCACTTACTCTCATGTCACCATTATTTCTAACAACACCTTTATTTGAAATATGAGTTTTTTTGCCACTCATTCTACCTGTATTTAAAACAACTGAATCTTCTTCCATTAAATTTATTTTTAAAATTTCTGTACCATCATCATCACTTTGATTATCGAAATGAGTTGTACAATTTTTGTTAACTATTAATTCTTTTGAAAGAGAAACCGCTCCTTGAATAACAAATGTTATATTTGCGTCGGATATAAAGAAACCAACATGAATAGTTTCTTTATTAATTGGATATCTTGCAATACACACACCATTTGGATTTGAAATACCAACTTCAGAAACACCTGATGGGTCAAATGACCAGCTATTTCCTTGGTCAAAATAACCATATATTTGGGTAAATAAAGGAATAGATTGCGATGTTACATTATTTAATGAAAAAATAAAAATAAATAAAAATTTTAAAAGTTTATTCATTTCTAAAAAATTGATTTCCTAATACAAATATATAAAAATTATTTATCTTTTTTATATTATTAACTTATTGAATAAGTAATCGAAAAATAAGCTCCAAAAAAAAAAAATTTATTTTTAAAAAAAACAATCAAAAAAAAAAAAAAAACTTGCACCAAATTGATATTATTTTAAAATTTTTCGATGAACTAGAGTAAAATATCTTCATCAATTATTATAATAATAGAAAAATTAATCAATTGATAAAAAAATAAAAATAAAAATAAAATAAAAATAAAGTTTTTGGTGTGTATATTTATTTTGTGATATATAATTTTTTTTTTTTTTTTTTTTTTTTTTTTTTTTTTTGTATTATTTATAACTTTACAACAATTACGGATACATTATCTTTACACATTGATGATTGAACAGCATTTTCTAATAACAATGATGCCATTGAATCAGCGGATGAACTATTATAATTTTCTAATAATTTTTCAACAGCCTCTTGTCCTTTAATGACGTCCCAAAGCTAAATATAAATAATGAGGAGTGTGGTTAATATTTAAAAAAAATAATATTATATTAAACTAAAAAAAAAACTTACCCCATCAGATGCAATAATTAAAAATTTATCTTGATCTGTTAATAAATAGCAATTTGAAATATGAGGATCGGAAATCATACCAATATTTTGTTCTTTAATGAAATGGTTGCCTAAGGAACGACTAACTGCAACGCCATTAATTCTTGTTTGATTTTCACCAACTGGTATGCCACTATCGATCATTCTTTGTTTTTCTGAAGGATCATTAGCTTTATGATCAAGAGTTAATTCAATAGCTTGGCCATTTCTACAGAGGAATGCTGAAGAATCACCTACATTGCCAACTTGTAAATAACGTTGATTATCTTTAGTTTTCCAAATTAATGAAATAGTTGCTGTACAGCCTTCGTACTCGTGATCTTTCATTTGATTATCTACATTCTTAAAAGCCTTGTTGATTAGTTGGGATTGATCATCTTCTAAATAGTTATCTTGTTCTTTCATAAGCTTTTCTAGTTCTAATGGGAATAGTTTTGAAGCTGAGTCTGCAGCACCTCTACCTGCATGTCCATCAAAAACACCAAACAAACCTAAATCTTCATCGGTCTCGAAGAATGGATATTTAGCAATTGAAACATCTTCCATCATTGTTGAACTACCTGGTGATGGTTTCTTTTTAGCTCTTCTGAGACCATTCTTATTTTCATCTGCTTTAATTGAAAACTCTTTAATAGTTTGAATTTTAATTTTACTGACATCTGATTCATTTGCAGTACTATGACCAACCTTAACCATTTCTTCCTCTTTAATATTATTATTATTATTATTTAAATCTTCGAATTTTAAGTCATCCAAATTTGTAGTTGTAATATTATTAATTTCAGATTCATTGTTATTATTACTATTATTTACATCTTGATCTGAATTTTTGGTTAAAAAACTATCTAAATTTGAAAAACTAACATTTGAAGATTTAATAAATAAATCTGATAAAGATTGTTCTTTTTGAATTTGATCTCTTGGTGAAACCTTCGTTGGTTGAATTGATTGTTGTGCACCGTTATCTAATAATTTATCATTTTCTAAATCAAATAAAATTTGGTTTGATTTATTTGGTGATTCTTTAATAATTACTGGTGGAATATTATTGTTATTATGAGTTGGAGTTTGAGGTTGGGTACCATTATTGTTTGTTGGTGGTTGATTAAAGAAATCGGATCCCAAATGCTTATTAATACCTTTTTGAGCCTTTTCTACAAATTTACTGGATTCTGATTTTACTTTATTAAATAATGATTTGAATGGCTTACCCTCGGAAGAGGAACTGAATGAGTCTTCATCAGAAGCAGATGCATCCCTAAGATAAGATGATGATGGTGATGCTGAAGATTTGCCATCAACGAAACCACTATTACTACCATTACTATTGGATCTATTGTGTGAAGAACTAATCGGGATTGGAATACCTTTGGATGGTGATGAAGATGGAATAAAACCTGAAGATGATGAAGCTACTGATGAATTTGATGATGTATCTGAAATATTACTATTAAGTTTTGATTTTTCTTTTTCTAATTTTGTTACTTGAGTTTCTAATTTTGAAATTTTTTTTACTTTTTCATCAACTTCTTTTTTAAACAAGCTTACTTGATCTTTGAGCTCTGAAATCTTTTTATTTGATTGTTTTTCATTTTCTTGATGATTTTTTTCCTTCTTTTCGTACTCTGTCAATTTTGAAACTACTTTTTGTTCACTTAAATAAATGGAGTCACGCTCTTTGGTCAAATCAGAAATATTTTGTCTTTGGCCTTCAATAGTGCTATTTAAAATTGCAATTGAATTTAATAATTCGCCACTTTTACTTTTTAATTCTTTAATCTCCATTTGATATTTATTTAATTCGTTGAAATATTTCAATTGTTCTTCCCTGCTACGTTCAACTGATTTGTTTAATTGCTCTGATAAATCATGGCTCTTTGTTTGAAGTTGTTTTATTAAAATTTGTTGGTCGTTATCTTCTTTTGAATAATTATATATTAATTTAACCTCTCCTGGTGACTGCTCTTTAACAATAATACTGTCATCTTGTGTTTTTTCAATTAGTGTTACAATTTCTTTTTTATTAATATTTGGATTAGTTATTGTTGTGGAGGTGGTGTTATTAATATCGAATAATTCGGGTGAGGAAGATGGAGAGTCAATGAAATGATGTTTATTTTGATAAAAAAATAATACAATGATAAATAAAATGGCTGTATATATTATGTTTACAAGAAATTCTAAAAATTCATTTGACACCATTAATGAAATAAATAATATAGAAAATGCTGTTAAAATTTTTATATCCATCATTTTAACCATTTTTTTATGCTATATTATTAAAATATATAAACTATATAATAATTTTTATTTATTATTACAATGGATTAAAAAAATGATGTATATGTATGGTGAAAAAAATTTTGATATTATTATTTTTATTTATTTATTTATTTTGTTTATCTATTATTTATTTTTATCAAATATAATTTTACAAAAAAAAAAAAAAAAAAAAAAAAAATTTTATTTTTATTTTTATTTTTTCCAATTTTTTAAAAAAAAAAAAAAAAAAAATAAAATAAAAAAAAATAACAAAAAATTTAAATGAAAAAATTAAATAATTTCTTTTTTTTTTATTTATAATAAAGTTCAATTTAAATAATAGATATAAATTAATTAATAAAAAAAAAAAGTAATATTATAAATAGGAAATACTATATATATAGTAAAATATTATATATAGTAAAATAATTTATATATAGATATTTAAATAATATTTACATCTATCTTTAAAACACACACCGCGAAAAAAAAATTTTATGTGGTAATTATTATATACACTTTGCAAAAAGATTGTTTTTATTATTTATATTTAAATCACCTCCTACCTATTTTTTAAAAAAAAATATTTTTTATTTTTTTTAATTTTTTTTTAATTTTTTTTTTTTTATGTTTTTAAATTAAATTTTTTTTTTTCTTTTCTCATTTAATTTATTTTATAAAATAGAAAAACTAATCATTATAGTTTATAAATAATATATTTAATAATAACATATATAATATAAATTATAATAATAGGAAAATAATTATTAAAATTTAAATTTTTTAAATTAAAAAAAATTTTAATTTTTATTTTTTTAATTATTTTTTTGTATATTATTTTTTTTCATTTATTTTAATAGATAAAGAAAATATAATAATAAAATGTTTTATAATAAATTTAAATTAAATTTGTTTGTAATATTTTTTATATTATATTCTTGTATTATATTAGGAACATCTTCGGCAAAAGAACAAGTAGATATCAATGCAATACTAAGGGAGCATTTTGATCAAGAGTTATTTATTTTAGAAAATAATGAAAAGGAAGATATTATTAAAGAATTAGTAGAAAATGAGCCAGATTTATATTCAGATATATATGACACTTTTTCAAAAAGTAAAATTCAAGTGACCCCAAATGTTGTTATACCCGAAGATGCACTTATTAGCTCAGGATCGAGACAAAACTATTGGACAGGTGAAACATGTGAACAAACATCATTCAATTGGACAAGCCCCCAAACTAATTGTCCAAATGACTGTCATGGCTATTGGGGACAAGGTAAATGTGACCAAGCAACAGGTACTTGTATATGCACCTATTTTTTTACAGGTGCAGATTGTTCGGAGAATACAGATCCAGATCACGATTGGGATTATATGCCTTGCAACGGTGGTAGATATTGCCCTCCAATTTATGGTACTGATTTTAGACATTGTATTTGCCCAGAAGGCCAAAAGGGTTTAGAGTGTAGTGTTTGTTCTTCTTCAAGTGGATGCAATAATCTTTTATCAAATGATACAGGGTCTTATTTATGTGACAACACTCACATCACATATGGCGATAAACATTATAGCTGTGTGGTTACAAGTATGTAAAGCTTAATATGCATTAGTTATAATACCTTTACAAAAGTTTATTAACATTTTTTTTTTAGGCCCAGAGGTTAATGGAGATCTCAATAATTCAACGGCAACAGCAACTATTGATTGTAATTTTCCAGGCTATAATTATTCCGATGGTTCATGTGCTATGAATTTATATTATCGTATTGGTGGTACTCCATTATATTTTAATTGTTCATTTATTGAATGCCAACGTACAATTCTTCCAGGTCAGAATCAATCCATTATTTGTAATTATAGTATGTGTAATTGTACAAGTTATTGTGGGTTCTTTTTGGCTGGCATCATATCTCAAGTTAAAAGTGAAGCAGAGTTTATTTGTGGTGCAGGCACAAACAACAGCAATATCGAATGTTCTTTTTCACAAAAAGAAATCTCACTTTTACTTCCAACTATTCCATTATCTTGTATGGCCGGTGAATGTATTGATGAAAAAAATCCACCTCCACCAGTATTTCCAGTTCCAATTTCAAAATTAATGTTTTTATATTTTTATGTCGGCTCTGGTGTGGGTTTGATAATTTTGGCATTACTATCAGGAGGAATATTTTTAATTTTCTCTCATCAAGAGGACAGAAAGAAATTCATTGAAGATACTCATTTGGTGTGTGAATTATCATTCCAAAACATTAGCTGCTATGTAAATGAACGTAAATCACTTATGGGCCAAGAATTTAGAAAAACAATTTTAGACAACGTTAATGGCGTTTGCCCACCAGGTCAATTAACCGCACTAATGGGTCTTTCAGGTTCAGGTAAAACCTCTCTTTTGGATATCCTATCTGGTAGAAAGAATGTCGGTTTGCTTGAAGGAAGTGTTTTAATTAATGGCGCTCCGGTTAGTAAAAACTTTAAAAGAATTTCTGGTTATGTTACCCAAGACGATATTATGATTGGTACTCTAACATGCCGTGAACATTTAATGTTTGCTGCTGAATTAAAACTTCCAGAGCACATGTCTCACGAGTATAAAGCACAAAGAGTAACCGATGTTTTAGAGGAATTGGGTCTAACACGTGTTGCCGATAATACTATTGGTACCCCAGAGAAGAGAGGTATTTCGGGTGGTGAAAGAAGAAGGCTCTCAATTGCTACCGAATTAATTGTTAATCCATCAATATTGTTTTTAGATGAACCAACATCAGGTCTTGACAGTCATTCTGCTGCTGAATTAATTACTAAATTAAAACAATTAGCAAATAATCAAGTTACAGGCCAAAGAACTATTATTTTTAGTATCCATCAACCATCTGCAGAAATCTTTGAACAGTTTGATAATTTAATTCTTCTTCATCAAGGTACCCCATTCTATTCAGGAAAAGCCGATCATTCAGTTCAATACTTTATTGAAAAGAAAATGGAAACAATGAACGAGCAAGAAAAACAAAACTATAGGATGCATCTTAGAAATCCAGCTGATTTCATTATTTCAATGGTTACTGATAAAAATGCTCAAAGAATATATTCACCAATTGTTCCAAATATTATTATTAATAATTTAAATAATAATAATAATAATAATAATAATAATAATAATAATAATAATAATAATAATAATAATAATAATAATAAAAATAAAAATAATTCATCTAGACACACAAAAAATAATAGTAGTGGTGACAGTAACTATGGCGCTAGTGGAAGTAACGATATGGGTACTGGTGAAATAGATAATGATAATAATCCATCTGCAGCTGAAGATAGTCTTTTCTATGACGGTCAACCACATCAACAACCAATTCAACCAAATAATGAACCATTAGCAAGTTTGGTTAAAATTGGTAAAGTTGAAGAATATGCAACTTCTTTTTGGACACAATTCTTTGTTGTTTGCCGTCGTTCATTATTAAATTATATTAGAAATCCATTCCTCTTAAGAACTACATACTTTGTTCATACTTTTGTTGGTTTAACTTTAGGTTATCTCTTCTGGAAACTACCAGCCAATCTCGAGCCAGGTTGCCAAGATAGATTTGGTGTATTCTTTTTTATGACTGCACTTTTATCATTTGGTAGTATTACATCGTTGGATCTCTTTTATAACGACCGTATTATTTTCATCCGTGAAAGAGCTAATGGTTTCTATAGAACATCTGCATACTTCCTTGCCAAAGTTGTTACCGATATCATTCCAATGAGAGTAATCCCTCCAATCATTCTTGGTTCAATTTGTTATTATATGATTGGTTTACAACCAGGAGCTCTTCATTTTATCTACTTCCTTATTTCTTTGGTATTAACAAGTACAGTCGCTTCATCAATGTGTATGGCCATTAGTACAATTTCACCATCATTTGGTACTGCTAATATGGTTTCAATCCTTTTGCTTTTTGTATTTTTGTTGTTCGATGGCTTCCTTTTGGCAAGAAACTCCATTCCAAAATATCTTATTTGGTTAGTTTGGGTATCATTTATGTCGTACTCATTGGAAATCCCCGTTGTAAACGAATTCAAAGGTCTTTGGATTCAATATAATCCACCAAATACAAAACCTACATATGCTGATGGTTTAGAATTCCTTTCAACTATTGGTGCAAGTCCCGAAAGATTATTTATCGATATGTATGTTTTAATAGGAATGATATGCGGCTATTTATTATTGGCCTATATATTCTTAAGATTTTTAGTTAGAGAGTACAGATAGATTGGTAATGGTTTTATAAAATTAAATAAAGAAATAAAATATATATAAAATTTATATATATAGTAAAATAAAATAAAATAAAAATAATTTTTAAAAAAAAAAAAAAAAAGAAATTAATGTTTTGTACAATTTATTTTAGAATCTTTTATATTTTTTGTTTAATCTTTTTTTATCAATGCTACTAATATTGTTATTATTATTATTTATATTATTATTATTTGTTAAGTATAAATTTATATCATTATTTGGTCTCTTTTTATTTTGATTTATTATTTCGAAAATTGTTTTAGAAATAGAATCTGGAAATGTTAATTTTATAGTTTTGCCATTAACTTTTTTACTTTTATGATTTAAATATTCGAGATCTACTAAATAATTCTTCTTATTGAGGTATTTTAACTTTTCATTATTTTTATCGTTTAAAACAAGCGAATTTATAATTGATCTACCAACAATGAATTTGTGATTTGGGTAAAGACTTTCAATCATTTTGAAAATTGATAAACTATTTGAATTTACTAGTGATAGAAAAACCAAATTTAATCTTTTTTCTATTGGATTTGAAAAATATCTGTTTTTATACTTTCTAATAATATAATCTAATATATGATATCTATCTAAATTGAATAATGAAACTATTATGAATGAAACTGAAAGCTTTTTATTTTCCAATAACCAACATATAATATCTACTCTATTGAATTGAATTGAATTGTTTAATATGATTACTTCATTTGATTCCTCTTGGTGTAATTGTTGAAAGTTGTTTGATATACTAATTTCATTATCTGGTTCTTCGTCATCATTTTCATTGATGTAATTATTTATATTATTGTTATTTGCATTATTGTTGTTGTTGCCTATAATATGATTGTTATTGATTATATCATCATCTATCATTAAATTAGTGTCATCAATTTCATTATTTATTTGTTGAATTTGCATTGCAATTTGTTGTTGGTTTTGTTGATTATTATTATTATTATTATTATTATTATTATTATTGTTTAATTGGTCATTAATATCTTTAAATGAATAGTGTTTTGATAATTCTAAAAATTGATCTAGTGTTGTATATTTAAAAATTGAATCTTTAAGGTGTTTAGTTAAAGGAAAGGTCTCTATTGATTGTTGATTTTTTGATAAATAGTCTATTAAATAATTTGGGTACCCATAGGTGAGGAATAACGTTTTGCAATGGTCATAGCTATTTGGTGATATAAAATGACTTGGTTTTATAATATTAATATCTTTAAAGTTTGAAAACAATTGATCTACACCTTCATTTGGCTCCATTAAAAATTTGCTTTTACTTGTTCCATTTAAAGAGTTCATTATTTGTTCTTTTTGAGTTTCAAATAAGTTTTCTAAAATTAAATATTTGTTCTTTTTTAATAATAGTAATATAATTGAAAATGGTAATTTTTCTTTTAACTTGATCACCTCTTCTATTAATTTTAATAAAACTTCATTTGAAACTGAATCATTTTCAATTAATTCTTTTGTAAACTTTTCTATTATATATCTATTACTTAATAATATAATATTTTCAATTATTAGGTTATTTATATTATTGTTTATATTACTATTATTTCTTTTTTTATTGAAATCGTTATTTATCTTTTTGAACTCTCCAATTTTTTGTTTATTTATTAAACTAGTATCGTTATTATTATATAGAAGAGCTAGTATTAAATTTTTGACTGAATCTAAATCTTGAGAAAAAAAGAATTGTTTAATATGTTCTGTAAAGAGTAGAGACTGTATAATTTCCTTTTCTATACCTATTGAGTTGTAATCTATTAAATTATATATTTCTATTGAGTCTTGAACTGATTCATTCTTTAGCTTTAAGTTTTGCAATAGTTCCTTTTTGCATTCGTTTGTAATAATTGAATTTATATCGTGATAACAACAGTGATTAAAGAATTCTAATTTTTCTTTATTTGATCTTTCTAATAATGCTTGAATTTGTTGTTGCTGTGGTTGAGAGGAGCTACCATTATTACTGCCAATATTTAAATTGATAGTACTTATTCTTTTAACTCGATATTTTAATAAAAATTCTATTTTTTCTGGTTCATTTGAAATAATTGGTAATAGAGTTTGAATTATTTCATTTTTTTCGTGCAATTCTTTAATAAATTTGATTTCGAACTCTTCTATTTTCATGAGAGATTTTATAGTATCGATTGGATAAAAAATAAAGAGAAGCTTGATAATATAGCAGTATACATCGAAATGGACAATAAACTTCTTCAAGAAATCGAAAACTTGACTGTTTGAAGCAATTGGAGTTAATGGCTCGATAACACTATCTTTATTTAAAAAATTTAGAGATACTTTGGTTTCTATAATATAGTCCAAGGCTCGAATATTAAAATTTCTAACGGTTTCAACATAAAAGAAAACTTGCATATCTGAATAAAGGTTCTTGTAATGATAATTGATCGTTGAAATTGTTTTGCTGACTTTTAAATAGGATATTACTTTTTCAATTTGATTTTGTTTAAAAAAATAGTCTATAAAAAATGGGAAATATTTATGCTCATATCCAGCTTTGTATCCTTCTAACAACTCTTCTATTGATAGCTCTTTAGATATTAAAGTCTTCTTTAATGGAACGGTATCTAATATTAAACATTTTAAACTATCGACAGTATATTTGAATGGAAATATATAATGAAATGGCTTCTCGTAAGTACATCCATCATTGGCACAGTGAAATATTAATTTTATTCTTTCTGGTGTTAATTTGTCAAGAATATTCATAAACATATTATAGTAGTTTTGTGGATATTTATCTATTAATTTCTTTAAATCTAAATTTAACTCTTCTTCTATAAATTTGAACATTTTTTCTGGATCATTTGACTTACATGCATTTTCGATTAATTGGCTTTCAGTAAAAGAATTTTTAAATATACTATTATTGTATGTTGCTGAAGAAATAGAAGGTGAATGTGTACTATGATTTTTTTTATTTTTAATATTATTATTACTATTATTATTATTATAACCGTTACTATTATTTATATTATCATATTCATCCTGGTCACTTAAAATTGATTGCTGGTCCATATCATCTGCCCCAATATAAGAATCGCTACTATTTTCTTCATCTATATATTCATAATCTTCATTTTCCCTAAAAATAAATTCTTCATTATCACTATCATTGATTTCTATTAAACTACTATTATTGTTAATATTATTGCTATTATTATTATTATTATTATTATTTATTATATTGGTTTGTTGTTGTTGTTGTTGTTGTTGTTGCTGATAAATAGATTTGATAAAATTCAATATATTAAAATCCATATTTAAAATTGCATTATCTACAATACTTTTATTTTTTAAAATATCTCTTCCCGATGGATTTAATCTATAATATTCTTTTAAACCCTTTAACGGTACTTTGGAAAGGTCTATATATTTAATGTCTGAAATTTGATTTTTTTTAATTTGATAAAGCAAGTTTAAAATTTCGGACTGAGATAGTTCGTCAATTTGTTCATATAATAGCTTCAAACCTCTACTTGTGATTTCTAATGGTTGATTTGAAATTAATTTATCTTTTAATATTGAGTACTGCTTTTTATTTACTAGCCATGTTAAGTCCAATATATTTTCAAACTTTATTCTATTGCCAATATAGTAAGAGTCCATTGAAGTAAACAATAACTCTTGACCACATATATTATTTATTATTAAGTTTATTAAATATCGGTTCCTCCAAACTTTCCAAAATAAAAATTCATGATTACTATTATTGCAATTATTATTATCGTTGAAGTTGTAACTATTATTATTAGTATCTATAATCATTGAATTTATGGATATTGACGTTGATGTAGTAGTAGTAGTAATGGATGATTTACTACCAACCAAACTATTTATTTTATTCTTTATGTTCATTTGGCTGTTACTTCTTCTTTTTATTTAATTTTAAATATAAAAATAATGTTAATAAATAATAGAAAAAAAAATATGAAGAGTATTTTAAAAATAAATAATAAAAAAAATAAAAAAAAAGGGTTTAAAATATGTTTTTATTCTAATAATTTTAATTTATTATTTTATATATTAAAGAAAAATAAACAATATGAGAAAATAGGAAATAATAATATATGTAATATTAAAAAAAAAAATATATAAAAAGAATATGTACGCTGCAAAAATAATTTTATTTACTATTTTATATATATAAAAAATTTTAATTTACAAAAAGGGGACTATAAACGCACCATCTATTTCTTAGATAATTATAAGCCGCCGTGAACCCATTCGAATAAAAAAGAAACTTCAATATTTACATTTGGACACATTCATTTGGTAAACAAAATGCACTCGAA